CTTTCAACAAGCTTCAACACCTCCAGAGGTACCTCTTCCTTCTCCTCCTCCTCCTCCTCCTCCTCCTTCACCTCCTTCTCGTCCTCACATACCAGAGAATGCGATGGTATCCACTGGAGGCCTTCCTAGTATCCAGCAAATTTTCAGGCATCCATAAACACACAACCTCCACTCGATGTATTTCGTGTAGAATTGTGCTTTTCAGTCTGAACACCTATTTGTATCATCTAGAATACACCTCCATTTATAGTATCAACACATTCACCTGCAATTTGACATCAGAGTGCCACTTCATTGGAGGTTCAGGGAGTAAAACAGCGTTTTTGTCTAATCCAGCTCTGCTTCTTGGAAGACTTCCAACTTATGGCTTAAGAGGTCACGTGTCTACTTCTAGAAATAGGTTTGTGATGGCGCTACCTGGTCTGTGAGAAAATACTGCTGAAAATTCTCAATAAACGACATTTCTTGTGAATAATACCACTTTGAAGCGTTGTTTTTTTTGAGATACTGGTATGCTGACAATAAATCTACACTGTGTCCACAATGGAATAAATTATATATTTTTGAATCATTTTGGAGCGGTAGAATAGAAGTTAGTCGACAAGCAACGGAAGGGGTTGTATCTGTTGACAAAGTTCACTTCGACAATTCAAATTATATACTAGTTGGAAAATGTGAAGATGGATATCCTAGAAAGCTGAATGTAGTGAAGGAATTACTCAAATTCGAGACAATTCGTAGGAAAGATGAATTTTATGTGTCAGATATGAATGTGTTGGACGTACTAATTGTTAAGAAAACTGGAGAATCAGGAGAATTCCACCATGAATTCAGAATTTCTAAACCAACATTTAGGTGCTAGTATGCTAATGCAAATTTTGACGAAGGACAATTCAATGCAATACACAATAAATCAAAATTCTACCAACCACCACACCACCACAGCGAACAACCACTACCATCACCATCACCATCGCCAATATTAATATCTCATTTCGGTGTTTCATTTACTTATGATTCAATGATACGAGGAATGTTTAAAATGAGAAATAATAGAATCGATATATTTTTATTGCATCTTCGACTACAGAGTTACGTTCAACCATCGAACCGCCACAACGAATGACAACCACCACCATCACTGGAGAGCACAATAATTATTCTATAAATAGCTTTACACAAGTTTTTAGACGAAACTACTGAAATGGTGTTCCTACATGTTAATAACGCTGTGAAACAACGTCTATGACTATTCCAGCTCTGCTTCTTGGAAGACTTCCAACTTATGGCTTAAGAGAGCACGCGGTTACTTCTAGAAATAGGTTTATGTTTGCGCTACCTGGTCTGTGAAAAAATACTACTGAACTTTTTCAATAAATGATATTTCTTGTGAATACTACCACTTGGAAGCGTTGTTTCATGAGATACTAGTACCATTTTGGTTGTGGTAGAACAGAATTTAGTCGATTGCAACCGTCAACGCGACAAGCAACAAGAGGTGTTGTGTCTGTTGACATGGTTCTGGAAATTTGTAGTGACCGTCGATCGAGTCGCCGAAGTCGCTCTCACAACAGGGATTATCTTTGTGGCTGTCAGAGGAGACGGTGAGTTTTTCATTGTACTTGTGTCTTTTCTCTAATCTAGTTACCTATTAAACCATTGAAGTTGATGTTGACAAGAGTTTGTATCAATTAGGCTGGAAATAGGTGGCTCGATTTTGAAGTCTCTACTAGTTGGAGTTAATATCTGAAGCCTACAGCGGTGTAGCATGTATTTGTTATCCCTCTTTCGGTTTACTCGAGTGTCTTTCTCTTATGTCTAATTTGAAAACAAGAAATGGTTTTGAAATATTTTGTATCGAGGTAAAACGGATTTGCCATTCGCGTTCTACTGGAAAAATCATCATGTGTTACGCTCTTCCAAAGTACCATCTAAACATCTGGAACACCATTTTGGTAGACTAGATAGCATGTCGTTTAAAATTTAGTTAAGAATAAGTTGATATTTGCTATTAACCTTGAAATCAAAATAATTTCTCGACTATGCTCGATATTAATGGGCTAAAGGTTGGCCATACTGGGTAGGATTATGTCTTCCGTATGCCTGAAAGAGGTGGTGATTTCTCGTCGCACTGAGTGGGCGACATTTTCTGAATAATAGTTTGAGTAAGTCTAGGTAGAAGAGGTTGTTAAGATCCTCCACTCCTCCGAGATGAACTCTTGGAGGGGCTTCATCTTCTTCTAATTCTACGTGCCTGTTGATGGTGGAAATGGATTTGTCGGACTTCTAGATTAGTCTCGCCAAAATCTATCTTTGATTGTACTTTGTGGTAGGATTTATCTGTAATTTCTATCTCTAGAGAAATTGGTTTAGTGAGTATGTGTTAAATAACCAAATTGATATTTAGTGTAAATGTGGTTTTCCAAGTCCATAGGGTAAGAGTTGAAAACCAACCTTTTCATTTATAAACAGATATGAAGTAGATTCTGGTCGAGAATACAGTGGTCGCAACGGTCGTAGCTCTCGACGGCATGGATCAAGAGAAAGTCATCTCGAGTGTTATCGTGTTCGTAGTCCAATCTCAGCCATGTCTCCCGGAAGTCTTTGAATGCCCCAGAATCCTCATCACGTTCGAGACGGAAGGCAGTAACTAAGAAGTCAAACGGACGTGGAGGCGGAGGAGGAGGTGGTGGTGGAAAGAAGTCCTATCGAAGCAGTCATCGCAGCAGGCGTCATCGTCGATCACCAACACCACGTAGGAATCGATTACCTTCTACATCTCGAAGATCTCATCTTCCTGAAGTTGGGATTTATTCATCTTCGACGTCACCTGTTAATCCGCTGGAACCGGTTTCGAATGCTTCCACTGATGTTAGTGCGAAACAGCGTCGATCATTAGTTGGTGTCTTCTAAATGTTGTCACAAATTCAACGCTTTGTATATACTCTGCACTAACATACACTCATTCACTTGTAATGCCTGTTTTGTAAATAAAATGCAAAGAATGCCCATTCGCTACTTGCTCAGTTTATACTTAATTATGGGTTTGTGAGCTCATTGATGTTTTGCGTTCCAACTCGATTATCACANTTGGCCATACTGGGTAGGATTATGTCTTCCGTATGCCTGAAAGAGGTGGTGATTTCTCGTCGCACTGAGTGGGCGACATTTTCTGAATAATAGTTTGAGTAAGTCTAGNAAATAATGTACTTACTGAACCACTCAGATCTTGCAAACTTAATGCTGCGTTTAAACAACTCAAGTGCTAAAAGTCTCCTTGTGAAGACGGTATTCATACGGAATTTATAATTAGAATGGAACCAATGGCAATGCAGTGCTTCTTTTTACAGGTGTGTTTAAAAGTTTCCACATCCATTTATCACACACACGATGAGTCTTGTCGTGTCATTCACATTAAACAGGCATTGTTGAGCCAAAGTCGGGAGATTGAGAGATGAAGAGATTGTATGGTATGTTGTCGTTGTTGCATCAGCGGAAACATTTGATTACTGTTTCAAAGTAACATTTTCCATTGCTGTTAATAACTTATATCAATTTCGTCAGTCCGTTTTGTCATTACCTCGGTTGCTCTTAATAGAAGAAGAAAATTTTTAAAGGTTTCCTGCTTCCACCACTTCAGTCACATTTGAATGGATCTGCAGCATTTTTTCTCAGTATTTTAAGACGATCAGGAGATACTCCATTGGATATTACACAGTGCCTATTGATTGCTTGTTCTTTGAGAGATCGGAGAGCTTGAAGCAAGACGATTCGTCAATTAGAAAGGAAAAGCGGGTTCCATTGGGAAGAAAAATCACCCACCTCATTCCAAACTTATAACTTAGAAGTTGACTTGGTCGATTTAATTATCAAACAAAATAAGTAGTGAAAATAACGTGATTTTCCTTTGTGTACGTAAGGTAGAATCGATAGTAGTAAATTATCTTAAACTGTTAAGTGGAGTTGTGAAGTTGTAGGGAGGGACAGATCATTGCGCATCTAT